TGAAGAATGAGGTTAACCATAGATTTGATGAAGCAAAAAAGGTGAGTTGTGCATTGAGGTATACGTGGGGACAAAAAAAAAAAAAAAAAGTTATTCATCGAGGCAAAGAAGGGAATGTGTGAAAGTATAGTGGTACCAACACTCTTATATAGGTTTGAAGCTTGGGTTGCAAATGCTGCAGCAAGGAGGCGACTGGAGGCAGTGGAGATGACCTAAGGGCAATGTGTGGCGTAAATATTATGCAGAGAATTCGGAGTGTGGAAATTAGGAGGAGGTGTGCAGTTACTAAAAGTATTAGTCAGAGGGCTGAAAATGGGTTGTTGAGGTGGACTGGTCATTTAGAGAGAATGGATCAAAGCAGAATGACTTGAAGAGCGCATAAATCTGTAGGGAAAGGAAGGTGGGGTAGGGGTCATCCTTGAAAAGGTTGGAGGGAGGGGGTAAAGGAGGTTTTGTGGGCGAGGGGCTTGGATTTCCAGCAAGCATGCATGAGTGTGTTAGATAGGAGTGAATGGAGACGAATATTTTTTGGGATCTGACAAGCTGTTGGAGTGTGAGCAGTGTAATATTTTGTGAAGGGATTCGGGGAAACCAGTTAGCTGGAGTTTAGTCCTGGAAATGGGAAGTACAATGCCTGCACTTTAAAGGAGGGGTTTGGGATATTAGCAGTTTGGAGGGACTTCTGAACTGTCGTATCTGAGTGCCTATGCAAAGACAGTGATTATGTATGAGTGAGGTGAAAGTGTTGAATAATGATGAAAGTATTTTCTTTTTGGGGATTTTCTTTCTTTTTGGGTCACCCTGCCTCAGTGGGAGATGACTGACGTGTTAAAAAAAAAAAAAATTGCTGTAAAGTGATTTCTGATGGGAACCCAAAAAATTTCTCAAAATGATTAAATATGCTAAATAGGCAACAAAGATGTAAAATTATACAATCACCCACTATGTGATAGTGCTTGAGCTTTGGAAATTTTCACATGTTCCATTTAAAAGATGACACCTCTCCTCCCATCCTCTATGTTTCAAAAGCTATTTATTGGAAGAACAGTCAAATCAGAAGTCATAGTATCAACTTCAATTTACACCATCACAGAGAGATATAAAGAAATTTTCAGCTAATCTATCCTTCTTGCTCAGCAAACTCTATGACTTTACCTTTCAAGTTTATCACATCTTCTGCCTATATATTCACATGTAGAGTATCTAGAGACTTGAAAACACTTGGTCTCTAAGTGAAACATTCTCTCAATGGTGTCCATTCTGCCTGTGTATGTCTGTTTTGCATATTATAGATAACCACACCAACAAAAAGTATAATATTCCTATCAATGATGCCTAATGACTTCAATTGTATTACCTGTAACCAAACCCATGCTCTCTCAGAGTTTCCTCAACGCCCGGAGCAGCTAGAGATGATACCCCTGGGAAGGAGTGCCAAGTGATGCCATCCACAGCAGCCAAAGGAGAACCATAAATCTTACATAACCGCTCAACCAGTAAGCTGATCCTGAAAATACAGTGACCTATTCAACCTCAAATTCTGAATGCTTTTCAAACATTAACAAAAATTTATGATTTTCAAAATTTTACAAAATTAACTAAAAATGTACCCATTTATAATGAGGAAACAGTAAAATACTTACTGCATATACACTATGTACCATACTGCATTTTCATGTTAATTATTGTACAGTACATAAAAAAATGAAAATTCACTGGCTTCCTAATTCAGTTGTTTCTGTTTTTTATTTTGCCAGAAAAACAGTCTCTCACCAAGGCGCTGTAATTTTTACTGCCATGACCCAAGTCTAGCTAACCAGTTTACCTGAATCGCATATACAGAACGTACTTGCTATCTTACTCACACTCAAGTGCACATCAAGCTATAAAAAAACACCAGACTGAAGGGCCTTTGTATAATGGATAAACCCTTTCAGAGTCCGTGCCGTAGATCTACGGCTTTATATTCAGGGTCCAAACCGTAGATCTACGCCATGAGCTCAGCTCACTCTGATAAGCTGTGAGTGGTAAATTTGGGCCAAGATATGAGAGAATACATCTATGTGGTATATGTGCACCACCTAATACACGCCAACTGGTGGGTCTAATGTACATTCACAAATGTGGTGATGATATTTATACAATTATTACAATATTGCATAACAGTAAATCTTCTATTTTTTGGTTTGAATAAAAATTCATTATGTGAATAAAAAATCAAAATGGAATTCATTTGTAAAGCCTCAAAACATAACTAATGAACAGAGGAAATGTTAGTTTAGTGCCAGGAATGTCTGCATTGTTTATTCTGGACACTATTTTGAAATTGGAATATTCTGAACTTTGTGTTAAATTGGCCACATTACCAATTTCCAATCACTTTATTTTGTAGTTGAAGCAATTGACTGGGCGATTTATTGTGCTCAGTCGATAGAATAGAAGTAATATTAGTGAAATAGCTAAGAATTTGGTCGACTGGAATAATGTAATTGTTCTAAAATGGGAGTCAAAGTCGGCAAAATTGCCGATTCGTAAATATCGCTGACACATCAAAATTCACGAGATCATAATTTTGTGAATTTTCCATCAAATTTCGTACTTTTTGTTTTATTACCTTCAAAAAAAATTATCTATTTCATAAGAACAAATAACAAAAATTTTTTTTTGAAAATTCTTGGACCCTGGTGTGCACTTTGAAATTTGGCTTCTGGATCCTGAAAGGGTTAATAGAGGAATCCATTATAACGAAATGTTGAAAATTTTTTTAAAAAAGTACACTAAAGTACTCTACACACAATTTAGAGATATAATGCTATAAACATTGAAAATAAAGAACTGAAAGTATAATTAAACAGTGGATTATGTCCATAATTTTATGCCTTTTATATTGCAGATTACTGTACACATTTTTGGAGTTCAGCACACAACCCCCTAAATTAAAAACTAATCATAGGATTTCACTCATATAACCTTAACCCTTTCAGGGTTTCCGACGTACTATTACGGCTTATGCACCAGGGTTTTTGACGTACTAGTACGCCTAAATTCTAGCACCCTCAAATCTAGTGAGAGAAAGCTGGTAGGCCTACATATGAAAGAATGGGTGTATGTGGTCAGCATGCGCAGTATAAAAAAAATTCTGCAGCACACAGTGCGTAATGAGAAAAAAAAAACCTTGACAGTGTTTTTAGTTTAAAACAGCGACTTTGCACTGTATTTTTGTATGGTATTTATGATGGTATTCTAGTTTTCCTGGTTTATTTTATAGAATGGAAGACATTTTACAGAAATTGATATGATTTTGATTGGTTTTACAATGAAAAGTACCTAGAAATTGAGCTCAAAGTAGCAGAAATCTTCGATTTTTGCCGAAGTTCAAAAGTAAACAAATCATGCTACGCGTCCAATACACGTCAACTTGTGAGTCTAATATTCTTTCACAAGTGTGCTGATACTATTTATACCATTTCTACACTAATACAATAGTCTGCATAACAGTAACTCTTCTATTTTTTGTGAGAATAAAAATTCAAAGTGGAAAGCAAAAGAATGTAAGAGGGGCATGGGGACGTGACTAATGAACAGAGGAAATGTTATTTTAGTGCCAGGAATGTCTTTCTTGTTTATTCTGGACCCTATTTGGAAATTGGCATCTTTTGAAATTTGTGTGAAATTGGCAAAATTGCTTAATTCTGACCACTTTATTGGATAGTTGAAATCAGTAAATGGGTGGTTTCTTGTACTCATTCGATAGAAAAAAATGGAGTTCTAGAGAAATAGTTATGATTTTTGTCAACTAGTACACTGGAATTGGCCAAAAATAGGGCTCAAAGTGGGCAAAATCGCCGATGCATAAACATTGTCGAGACCGCTAACTTCACGAGAGCATAATTCCATAAGTTTTCCATCAAATTTCATACTTTTGGTGTCATTATGATCAGTTAAAGATTCTCTACCTTTTCATAAGAATTTTTTTTTTTTTTTTTGAAAATTTGTTGACCCTGAGAAAAAGTCTGCGAGAGGGCCTGTCGACCCTGAAAGGATTAATAACTTTCCCATGCCCAAACCTCTTTTTTTCTGGTCATTCTTTCTTAACCAAATTGTTATATCTTGCAATTTTCATATTTTTTTTTATCTTTATGCAGTCAGAAAATATCCTGACAACCAGAGTATCTTGATCCTCATCCATGTGCTTTCTCTTGAATTATGGAAAATTACTTGCTTAAAGAAATTCAGTCTGTACTGAATCGTACAGCTATACTGATATTTTTCACTCCCACCTGAAGTTCCCACTAGACCCTATCTGTATGACCTGCACTGGTTCTTTATTAACCAACTGAATTTAAATTCTGTCTATTAACATTTAAAGCTACTAAGTAAGATGAGCTTAATTATCTTCCTGGCATGCTTGCACCTTTTACATCAAGTGTGGGAATGTTTCTAAGAATTGCTGAGGGTCCTTTCAGATTGATTGAGCCTCATACTGTTGGAAAGAAATCATTTACAGAAAGAGCCTTGTCTCATGTAGCTCCCAGATGATATAACAGGTCACCAGTCTCTGAAGAGTTAGGAATCTCTTCATTCTTCTAAGTCTCAGATAAAAGCACATTTCTTTCCTGGAGATTATGATCCTGATGATCATACTGTTACTATTGAATATAAATGCTAGTATTTTTTTTATTGTTGTTGTTGCATGTATAGTTTGGTATGCAAGTGCTTATGAATTTTTTGAAAGAAAAGGCACTCTTGAATTATAAAATCCAAAATTATTTATCATTAGTATTATTAACACAAACCTGATTAGAGCAATAGTTAAAGATATAGACACACACAAAATGAGAGCAAATCCGAAAAAAATTTATAATTCCCACATAATTTTATATTATTCATCGATTCTAATTCCATGAAATCTCTAGGAATTTAACCTTTGTGAATTTGGGGATTTGACTGATCATAAATGTGTTAGTGTTATGTTAAAAAATATATAATTAGCAGGCTTATAATTTGAAACTAAAACTTACAACCTAAACATGAAAGCAGCATCATACTGTACCTCTGAATATTATTATTTGATGAGCATATAAAAGAAAATACATTCTCAACTGCATCCTGATTCATTATTCTTACACCATGGAACTGTGGGGACACCGCAGCAAAATTAACATCAGCTTTAGACCACAAAGAGTACATGCTCTCCAGAGATATGTCCAACCGGAAATAGTTTCTCAATTCTTCCTTTAATTTATTTTCGCCAATATCATTTAATTCGTTAATTTCACAATCATAAATTTTTGTATACTGGTTATTTCTTATTCTTTTATTAGTTGGTGACATTTTTATGTCTTCAGTGTTTTTCCTTTTTGTAGCTTGACCAAAAGATGCTTTCTGTTTCATCTGGATTGTGGAGACCTGCTTTGATAAGTCTGTCTGTCTTGCAGACACATTCTCTGAGGAGTGAGTTTGGAACATGATATGAGAGTCATCTTGAGAGAGTGTCCAAACCCTATTTCTGATAATTCCTCTCCATTGCCCAGGACTGATTTCACGCCATCTGAAATTATTTAAATTAGCAGTGTGCATAGAAGCTTTGTTACACATAAATGACAATAAAATAATAAATGTACCTCACACACCAGTAATTACATTATACTACTCTCTAATCAATCCTTACCTCACCTATGCTATTTGTGCCTGAGGATCCACTACAGTAAAATCACCTAGGAAATAATAACTCAACAAAGTTAAGCTGCTGTATGAATAATTGCCCAGTCCAGTGGCAGGCAACACACTCCCCAACTCCTAAAGAGCTTAATCCTATTTAATATACATAAAATTCATTCATACTTCTATGCATATGACATAACAGGACAATAAATTCTGGTATTAATCCTGCCTTAAAACTTTTTCTTGGTAGTTGCAATAGAACTCATAGGCATAATACTAAACACAAAAATCTCCATGATATTTCCAGTATCCAATTCAACCTGTGTAAAAATTCAATGAGCATAAAAATCTGGAACTCTTTACATAAAGATTCTAGATGCTCACTATCAGCTAACCACTTCTAGGGTACCTTAATGTGATCCTGGCAACAATATAATAGTTATTCCAGACATAAGTTGTTAAGTTCAAAGTTGCCTGAAATGCTCTGCATAAATAAGGAACTTTCGTTGTGTGAAATGTAATGTCATCCAATTTTTTACAAACGATATATCACGTGGAAATACATTCACTGATTGATTCTGAATGATTTACCTCAAAATAATGCCAAAGTGGGACAAAGAAACAAACATTAGTAATTAAGCTTTTATTCAGGTATAGGTACATAAATACAGTTACATAAATTATCATACATTGCAGCATATGTGTTGATTACCTAGGATAACCCAAAAAAAAGTCAGTGACTTATTTCCATTGGGGCCCTTGTAATGCATCATACTTAAACCTTAAAGGTTAAAACAGCTAAGTAGCTCAACTATGTGAAAAGCAGTTACAATAAAAGGAGATATACAAGGAATAAAGTAAACTGAGTTATTCACATTAAAATTAAAGAGAGGATCAGATCACAGTAATGGGTACATGAATGTAAGCTATACAAGAAATCGCTCTCCTCCCTTTCTGCTGCTCCATTCATTAGGTACCTTTTGGGTCTCTTCCCAAATTGGCTCATGCTGACAGGCTTTGACATATGCAGGCAGTCCATTTCATTCCTTTATTGCTGCACAATAAAAGGTGTTTGAAGTCTGACCACCTACAGTGGGTACTACAAAGTTGTGTTCCCTTTTGGGTTACCCTAGATAATCTACACATATGCTGCTGTGTGATAATTTATGTAACTATATTTATGCGTACCTATAACTGAATGAACTTACTTGCTTGCTTAGTGTAATTGCTTTGGGTTCCCAGCCCTGAAAAACTTGGCAGCAAGATATTCTGGACACTGCTTGTGAGCAATTTTATAAACGTGATTTAACATCAGTTGTTTTATTGTCTTCAACACTCAGCATATCCAGTTCTCGTAATTCATCCTGGCCTACATATGCTCTCTTGGACCCGGGACAAGGATGAATATCACCATTTTGTTCTGGGTGATTTGTAGTCTATCTTTCATTTTTTTTTTTAAAGCAAAGTACTTTGAAGAGCATTGTATAAGAACTAGGCATAGGGTCCTGCAAACCTCAGTAGGTGACACTGTGTTTGTCTGTAGAGGAATTTTAGTTTAACATTCACTTTCTTTACTACACTGTTCCCTTCAGTTCTCCTGACATGCTTGGGTCAAAGGGCCAGATATTTCACTGAAGATACTAAAGTGATGGCTTCCCCATTACAAACCATACCCCCGGCCAGGATTGAACCCGCGGTCATAGAGTCTCAAAACTCCAGCCCGTCGCGTTTGTTTGTTTGTTTGTTTGCAATCGTGTCATTACGATTTCTTGAGTCATGTTCCCCATTACACTTGACATTAAAATTATTTACCCTTTTCTGTTTATTTTTTGTGCCAAAGAGTATGGCTTTCTTTTCCCCAAAGTGTAACAATAATTTGTTGTCTACTAGCCATTTGTTGCACGACTCTAATTCTAGTGATAGTACATTAGCTATATCTTATGGGTTTTTAACTGACACTAACAGAGCACTGTCATCTGCATACAACAGAAGCTTACACTTGACACTGAGGGACATGTCATTCACATAACATAGGAACAATAAGGGACCCAGAATACTATTTTGTGAACCCCACGTGCTATTGGCAGGGGTTCGGATTCTGTGTTGTTGATCTTGGCAGTTTGTTTCCTGTTGCTCTGGTAGGACTTAAACCTGTCTACAGAACCTATGCCAATTGCTTGTAGTTTCTTACATAATATATTATGGTTGACCACATCAAGACCTTTTGCAAGTCTAAGGTCAAAATACCTATGAGATTCCCTAGCCACATTTCAGTTCACAGGTAGTCCATCAGATTAATTTGGGAGGTGTTGAGTAAGATTTGAAACCTGATTGGTAACTATGGAGAATGTTTTTGTCTCCAAGATACTCAGCTACAGCCTCTCCTCACTTAATGACGGAGTTTCATTCCTAATACCGCATAGGTAAACGAATTTGTTGCTAAACGAGGAGCATACTGTAATGGTAGTGGGTTTATGTCAACCATCTTTGATATTGCTTTAATGTCACCTTTGCACCATTGATAACATGTTTAGTATGTTTTTAAATGTTTATACAGTGTATTGTACTGTATATCATAATAAACAGAATGGAGGAAATCAGCTCTAATATACATTATTTAGGTATGCATACTGGTCAGTAAGCCCGTCGTAAATCCGAGTCATCAGTAAATGAGTACGTCGCTCAGTGAGGAAAGGCTGTACTTAACAGTACACCACCTTCTCTAGAATTTTGGACATCACACTGAGTACACCAGCAGACCTATAGTTCCTGACATCAGACCTATTATTTTTCTTGAAGACAGGAGTAACTCTGGCCTTGAACCCCTCTTGGACAGTGTTAATGCAATGGACAAATTTACTATGTGCACAATGAGGACTGGCAATTCAGAGGCACTATCTTTTAGGAACTTAGCCAGATACCCAAGATGTTATCTGGGCTGATGCTTTTAGTTGGGCTTAATTTGCTGTTCTTTTCATGTGAAGTCATAAGATACACCCACTAGTTGGTAACTGGGTGATGCCATTAATAGTATAAGAATTGAGACACTTGTGCAACACATGGGAATCTTTATTGAAGAAACGTTTCGCCACACAGTGGCTTCATCAGTCCAATACAAAGTAGAAATGGGTAAGGAGAGGAGGAGTTCGAGGTAATCAGTCCCTCAACCTGGAATCAATGTGTTCACTCCATCACTCTAGTAGGAAGTGCAGCATAGGGCCAGAGAGGTGGCAGTCAGATGAGTTGAAGCAGGAGGAGGCGGGATCACAGTGGGACCTGCCACTTGTGTAAGTAGGTCGTCGTCCAAAGGTTGGGCAAGCGTTGAAGTCTTTGTACCAAGATCCCATGATGTTGCAGTGTCTGACAGATGTGGTGAATGGTTTTGAAAACTGACAAGTTGAAGAATTGAGACGCCTGCCCAACCTTTGGACGACGACCTACTTACACAAGTGGCAGGTTCCACTGTGATCTCACCTCCTCCTGCTTCAACTCATCTGACTGCCGTATATAAGCCACCTCTCTGGCCCTATGCTGCACTTCCTACAAGAGGGATGGACTGAGCACATCGATTCCAGGTTGAGGGACTGATTACCTCGAACTCCTCCTCTCCTTACCCATTTCTACTTTGTATTGGACTGATGAAGCCACTGTGTGGTGAAACATTTCTTCAATAAAGATTCCCATGTGTTGCACAAGTGTCTCAATTCTTCAACTTGTCTGTTTTCAAAACCATTCACCACATCTGTCAGACACTGCAACATCATGGGATCTTGGTACAAAGACTTCAACGCTTGCCCAACCTTTGGACGACGACCTACTTACACGAGTGGCAGGTCCCACTGTGATCCCACCTCCTCCTGCTTCAACTCATCTGACTGCCGTATATAAGCCACCTCTCTGGCCCTATGCTGCACTTCCTACAAGAGGGATGGACTGAACACATCGATTCCAGGTTGAGGGACTGATTACCTCGAACTCCTCCTCTCCTTACCCATTTCTACTTTGTATTGGACTGATGAAGCCACTGTGTGGTGAAACGTTTCTTCAATAAAGATTCCCATGTGTTGCACAAGTGTCTCAATTCTTCAACTTGTCGGTTTTCAAAACCATTCACCACATTAATAGTATAGTTTGTTTTAAACATATCGGAGTCTGTGTTAAAGGTATTTGATGCACCCGGAAGTTTCTTTACCAATGTTGATGCAACAGTTGTGTAGTATGAATTAAAACAATTTGTCATTTTAGTAGTTTCATGGCATACCTCATTATCAATATTTAGCACTGTGTTTGATCTATCTATGGGTTTACGGCTATACCCCAGCTCTAAAAGTTGTTGACAGAGCTTCCAGAGGTTATTCTTGCATTCTTTGATTTTTGAGAAATAGTGCCTTGCCTTTGCTCCTTCTATAAGACTCTGCACTCTGTTCCTTACCCATTGGAATTCATTTAGAACTGCAATATCCTGTCTGTTTCCCTTAAACTTTTAGCAACTATTCCCTGAATTTAATATTATCCAATATCTCTGCAGTAACTCAGGGACCGATCCGTTGTTTAATCCTAACCTCAGACCACAGGACAGTGCCCTGTGGACCAGTGGCTAAAGCTCCCACTTCACACGGCAAGGGTCCGGGTTAGATTCCTGGTGAGGGTAGAAACACTGGGTGCGTTTCCTTACACTGATTGTCCATGTATCCTTTAAGTAAAATGGGTACCTGGCAGTTAGTCAACTGGTGTTTACCTGCAGTTTACCTGGAGAGAGTTCCGGGGGTCAACGCCCCCGTGGCCCGGTCTGTGACCAGGCCTCCTGGTGGATCAGAGCCTGATCAACCAGGCTGTTGCTGCTGGCTGCACGCAAACCAACGTACGAGCCACAGCCCGGCTGGTCAGGAACCGACTTTAGGTGCTTGTCCAGTGCCAGCTTGAAGACTGCCAGGGGTCTGTTGGTAATCCCCCTTATGTGTGCTGGGAGGCAGTTGAACAGTCTCGGGCCCCTGACACTTACTGTATGGTCTCTTAACGTGCTAGTGACACCCCTGCTTTTCATTGGGGAGATGTTGCATCGTCTGCCAAGTCTTTTGCTTTCGTAGCGAGTGATTTTCGTGTGCAAGTTCGGTACTAGTCCCTGTAGGATTTTCCAGGTGTATATAATCATGTATCTCTACCGCCTGCGCTCCAGGGAATACAGTTTTAGGAACCTCAAGCGCTCCCAGTAATTGAGGTGTTTTATCTCTGTTATGCGCGCCGTGAAGGTTCTCTGTACATTTTCTAGGTCAGCAATTTCACCTGCCTTGAAAGGTGCTGTTAGTGTGCAGCAATATTCCAGCCTAGACAGAACAAGTGAACTGAAGAGTGTCATCATGGGCTTGGCCTCCCTAGTTTTGAAGGTTCTCATTATCCATCCTGTCATTTTTCTAGCAGATGCGATTGATACAATGTTATGGTCCTTGAAGGTGAGATCCTCCGACATGATCACTCCCAGGTCTTTGACGTTGGTGTTTCACTCTATTTTGTGGCCAGAATTTGTTTTGTACTCTGATGAAGATTTAATTTCCTCGTGTTTACCATATCTGAGTAATTGAAATTTCTCATCGTTGAACTTCATATTGTTTTCTGCAGCCCACTGAAAGATTCAGTTGATGTCCGCCTGGAGCCTTGCAGTGTCTGCAATGGAAGACACTGTCATGCAGATTCGGGTGTCATCTGCAAAGGAAGACACGGTGCTGTGGCTGACATCCTTGTCTATGTCGGATATGAGGATGACGAACAAGATGGGAGAGAGTACTGTGCCTTGTGGAACAGAGCTTTTCACCGTAGCTGCCTCGGACTTTACTCTGTTGACGACTACTCTCTGTGTTCTGTTAGTGAGGAAATTATAGATCCATCGACCGACTTTTCCTGTTATTCCTTTAGCATGCATTTTGTGCGCTATTACGCCATGGTCACACTTGTCAAAGGCTTTTGCAAAGTCTGTATATATTACATCTGCATTCTTTTTATCTTCTAGTGCATCTGAGTATATTGTTTTTGGTATGGTGACATTTCTTATCAGATCATCATTGTTAGTGAAGATGAGGTCTAGTGTATTCTCCAGTCTAGTAGGCTCTATTATTTGCTGGTTTAAATTGAATTTTGTGCAGAGATTTAAAAGCTCGTGTGAGTGTGAGTTTTCATCAGAGCTGCCTCCTTGTGTTATTACTGCAACAATATTATTTGCTATATTCCTCCATTTTAGGTGCCTTAAGTTGAAATCCCCCAGGAGCAAGATGTTGGGTGCAGGAGCTGGAAGATTTTCCAGACAGTGGTCAATTTTTAACAGCTGTTCCTGGAATTGCTGGGATGTTGCATCCGGAGGCTTGTAGACTACCACAATGACTAGGTTTTGGTTCTCGACCTTTACTGCTAAAACTTCCACTACATCATTTGAGGCATTAAGCAGTTCTGTGCAAACAAGTGACTCTGCAATGTACAGCCCAACCCCCCCCTTTTGCCTGTTCACTCTGTCACATCTGTATAGGTTGTAACCTGGGATCCATATTTCGTTGACCAAGTGATCCTTTATGTGGGTCTCAGTGAAAGCTACGAACATTGCCTTTGCCTCTGCAAGCAGTCCACGGATGAAAGGTATTTTGTTGTTTGTTGCTGGCTTTAGACCCTGTATATTTGCAAAGAAGAATGTCATCGGACTGGTGGTATTGTTGGTACTGGGGGGGGGGGATCGCATCCTGGGACAAAATTGACCTAATGACCCCATGGCCCGGCTGGCAATGCTCTCGCTTCACACACGGAGGGCCCGGGTTCGATTCCTGGCGAGGTAGAAACATTTCAACGTGTAAGTAAGTAAGTAAGTAAGTTTATTCAGGTATACACAAATACAGTTACATAGAATTATCATACATAGCAGCATATGTGTAGAGAACTTAGGATAACCCAAAAAAGTCAGACAGAGTGACTTATTTCCATTGGGGTCCTTTTACCTTATTATTATAATATGAAGGTTATAATATTTTCTTATTATTCTACAATGAAGATAACATCTTATTATCATACTAAAAAGACTATCTACTACACGAGGGTCATTACTAGGAATATGGTAAAATTTACACATATGTTAGCTAAAAAATAGAAAATCATTCCCCTCCCTTTCTGTAGCTACATTCATCAGACACCTTTTGGCACTCTTCTTGAACTGGTTCATACTATGACTGGCTTTGACATGTGCGGGCAGTCTGTTCCATTCCTTTATTGCTGTACAATAAAAGGTGTTTGAAGCCTGTCCAATGATTGTGGGTACTACAAAGTTGTGCTCTCTCCCCCTAGTACTATGATTGCTTTGGTTCCCAACCTTGACAAAATTGACAGCAAGATATTCTGGACACTGTGAGCAATTTTATAAACATGATTTAGCTTCAGTTGTTTTACTCTGTCTTCAACATTCAGCATATCCAACTGCTGTAATTCATCCTGGCCTACATGTTCTCTTGGTCCCAGCCCCAGGATGAATCTTACGATTTTGTTCTGGGTGATTTGCAGTCTATCTTTCAGTTTTTTTGTCAAGGCAGAGTACCATGAAGAGCAAGCGTAATCCATATGGCATTGTATAAGGGCTAGACATAGGGTCCTGCGAGCCTCAGTAGGTAGACACTGTGCTTGTCTATATAGGAACTTCAGTCTGGCATTCGCTTTCTTTACTTTCCTTACACCTGTTGTTCTGTTCACCTAGCACCAAGTAGGTACCTGGGTGTTAGTCGACTGGTGTGGATCGCATCCTGGGGGACAATACTGAGGACCCCCAATGGAAATAAGACAGACAGTACTCGATGTCGTACTGGCTATCTTGGGTTATCTTGGGTGGCTAACCCTCTGGGGTTAAAAATCCGAAGAAATCTTATCTTATTTAAATCTGTGGGAAATGCTCAGCATAACAAGTGGCTGACTGTATAGTAGTATATCATTGATGTCAACTAGACCTGTATACCCTGTACACGTACTTGTAGTACATAAATAATGATATTAAGGATGGCTGTGAACATGGTTTTGAATTTTTCCCAAGCATTATTTACGTCAGTGTAACTTGTTATCACCTATGTTTAAAAGTCTCCACGATCTTACCTAGGTAAAACATTATTATTATAATCAAAAAGAAGCGCTAAGCCACAAGGAGGCAAAAATTAGAAAGATAAGTCTAGATTAATTTACCTGAATGACTGCCCACACTGGAGGGTGATATCAAGACGCAGCTCAGACTTGGCACACTTTAATCTGAAGACCCTCGACCCAGGACACATCTTCTCCTTGTTGGGTTTATAAGGATTGCTGACAACTTACAGTGTCAAGCCCTGCTTACCCATGCAATAATAATATAAAAATTATTATTATAAACAATAAATAGATAATTAATAATAAATAAATAATAATAATTAATAAAATATAAGCGCTACTATGGATGACAAATTTTCTGATGCCTGTAGATTTTATTGTATTTATTTATTATATTTGGACATGATAATATAGTTGTAGGGCAAAGAAAATACAGTGTTGAGTGGTACATGTGCCTCAAAATCCCCCCCCTTGTATGCAGAGTTATTATGTGAAGCCTTAAAATTAACGTAAGATTAACTAAGCAATTATAATATTTCAGTTGGTAAAAAATTACATAAACAAATTAACACACAAAACATGAAGTACAAATGAGTATTTCAAATAAGAAAGCTTTATATTGTTGTACAAAATTTGTAACATAACAATATATAAACAAAATGAATCAAATACTAATAAGAAGTCATTATAATTTATTAAATCCTCCGATCAAATCGAATAAAACCCAATGCTACCTTCGCTGGTTTCCTACCAGCCGGGCCTGTGGCTCGTACATGGTTAGCGTGGCAGCCAGCAGTAAACAGCCTGGTTGATCAGGCTCCTGATATCACCAGGAGGCTGGTCCACAGACCAGGCCGCGGGGTGCGTTGACCACCCCGGAACTCCTCTGGAGTTTAACTCTGAGAGAGTTCCGGGGTCAACGCCCCCGCGGCCCCGGTCAGTTACCAGGGCCTCCTGGTGGATCAGCGCCTTATCAACACAGGCTGTTTGCTGCTGGCTGCACGCAAACCAACGAACGAGCCACAGCCGGCTGATTCAGGAACTGACCTTTAGGGCTGGTCATGCCAGCTTTGAAGACTGCCAGGTCCCCCGTTGGTACTCAATTCCCACCCCTTATTGTGTGCTTGGTAAGGGCAGTTGAACAGTCTCGGGGCCCCTACCACTTATTGTAATGGTCCCTTCTTAACCGTGCTATTGACACCCCCTGCTTTTCATTGGGGGATGGTGGCAATCTCGTCTGCAAGTCCTTTTTGCTTTCATAGTGAGTGATTTTCCGTTGTGGCAAGTTTTTCGTACTAGTCCCTCTAGGATTTTCCCATGTATATAATCATGTAACTCTCCCTCCTGCGTTCCCAGGGAGATACAGGATTTAGGAACCTCAAGCGCTCCCAGGAAATTGAGGTGTTTTATTAACTCGCGTTATGCGCGCCGTGAAAGTTCTCCTGTACAATTTCTAGGAGGTCGCAATTGTCACTCACCTGCCTTGAAGTGGCTGTTAGTGTGCAGCAATATTCCAGCCTATATTAGAAACAAGTGACCTGAAGAGTGTCATCATGGGGGCTTTTTGGCATCGTCTCTCCTAGTTTTGAAGGTACACATTATTCCATCCTTTCATTTTTTCTTTCCTAGCAGATGCGATTGTACCATGTTATGGTCCTTGAAAGTGAGATCCTCCGACATAATCACTCTTCCCAGGTCTTTGACGATGGTGTATTCGTTCGCTCTATTTGGTGGCCAAGAATTTTGTTTTTGGTACTCTTGAAGAAGAATTAATTTCCTCATGTTTACCATACTGAGTAAGTGGTGAAATTTTCCTCATGTTGAACTTCATATGTTTTCTTCCCTTTCTCTTCCTTCTCTGCAGCCCACTGAAAGATTTTGGTTATATGTCCGCTGGTAGCCCTTTGCAGTGTCTGCAATGAAGACTACTGTCATGTAGATTTTTCGGGTGTCATCTGCAAGGAAGACAAGTGTGTGGCTGACAGATCCTTTGTCAATGTCGGATATGATGAGAGAACAAGATGAGGAGCGAGTACTGTGCCTTGTTGAACAGGAGCTTTTTCACCGTAGCAGCCTCGGACTTACTTCCCCTCTGTTAGACGACTAACTCACTGTGTGTCTGTTAGTGAGGAAATTATAGATCCATCGACCGACTTTTCTGGTTTATTGCCTTTAGCCACACTCATTTTGTGCCGCTATTTTTACGCCATGGTCACACTTGTTCCTAATGCTTTTGCAAAGTCTGTACAAAATAACAACTGCATTCTTTTTGGGGTCTCTAGTGCATTAGGACCTTTGTCGTAGTGGAATCCAATAGTTGATACAGACAAGGATCGAGACCTGTTCTAAACCCATGTTGCCCTGGGTTGTGTAAACCTGAAGGGTTCTAGATGTGGTTGGTGACTTGCTTCTTAGGAACCCCTTTCAAAAGATTTTTTATTATGATATGGATGTTTTAGCGCTATTGGTTCCTGTAGTTCTTTGCTGTTTTGCTTTAAAAAAACAACTGCCCCCTTGTGGAGTGGGGCTAAGTCTGTATGTTTATTTTTAGTAACTGTGGGACGACCACCGTGTCCCATGCTCCCCCTCCATAGATGGAAAAGGCCTCGTGATAGGGGCTTCTTTCTTGCAGTTTTTCTTTGATGAAACCACAGAAGTTTCCATGAGTCTGGTTCCCCTGGTGGCAGAGTGCCTGGGCCATGGCATTTATTCGCCTGATCGAAGTCCCATTTGGCGTCAGATAACATTCGGAATAGGCTTGTTGAATCAAATTTATGTGGCTCTCTCCCTCATAAAAAATCATTTTGATCTTTTCGAACTCTCAGTTTGGTTAGGCGGCTGCTAAAAAACTGAAGTTCATATAGGGACTTTGAGTAGCTCCTCATTTCCTTGCTGTCATCTGTGTAGGACCCTCTTGTTTAAGTAGGGGCCCAATACTGGACGTGGTCTCTCGATTTTGATTTGGGCATAGGAGAAGAAATACTTTGGTTTCTTCGATTTCATTATGGCTTTTTAAGTTCTTTCCCCCCGCGATTTCCGGCTCCAAAAGGATTTCTTTTAGCTTAAGGTTCCGATGCTTGCTATTTCTTCTCTGGACCAGTGACTTCCCTAGCTCAGTTTCCAGATAAATTGACCTCTTTTATAGCCGCTCCTGGTTATTCTTTTATTCCGTCGCCTGTAAAGGGAGGCCGCCGCGCCGGGAGCCCGCGGCCGCTCTTGTCCCCACCTCTTTCTATTTTTAACATCTACCTTTCCTTTTTTCTTAGAGGAATAGCCTTGTGTGCATACATCGAGTTGCCAAACCCGAGTAATCTGTTCAAGGCATAAGTTTGGGTCTGGTTGCTTAGTATATCTTCCCAGCTATATCCTGTTAGGACATGGTTTACTTTGGGTCCCCCCACCTTTAAAATGTTTTTTTTTGTATTGAAGTTGAATTTGGTGAATTCCCTCCCTCGTGACTAGTCTCAATTTGTCAGTCTGGGGGCTCCACGCATACATGTCTAAACTCATGTATGTTTTGTGATCTGAGTAATTTGTTTTTGATATGGAGACATTTCGTAATCAGTATCATCATAGTTAGTGAAGATGAGGTCTAGGATACCCCTCCAGTCTAGTTAGGCGCACTATTATTTGCTGGTTTTAAAAAATTTGAAATTTGTGGCACGATTTAAAAAATGCCTCGTGTGAGTGTGAAGTTTTTTCTTCATCAGAGCTTGCCTCCTGAGTTAATAACTCAACATTATTATTTGCTATAATTCTCCAGTTTTTAGGAGCCTTAAGTTGAAATCCCACCTCCCCCCCCAGGAGCAAGATGGTTGGGGGTGCAGGAGCTGGAAAGAATATTCCCAACAGTGGTCAATTTTTAACCACTGTGCCTGGAATTGCTGTGGAATTGCAATCCGGAGGCTTGAAGACTAACCCACAATGACTAGGTTTTGATTCTCCGACCATTAATGCTATAAACTTTTCCACTACAATCATTTTAGGCATAAGCAGGTTCTGCTGTGCAAAACAAGTGACTCTGCAATGTATAGGCCAACCCCCCCCCGCTTTGGCCTGTTCACCATCTTGTTCACATCGGTATAGGTTGTAACCTGGAACCATATTTTCCGTGTGTCCAAGTGAATCCTTATGTGGGTCTCCTTGAAAAGCCGCGAACATTGCCTTTGCCTCTGCAAGCAGCCCACGGATGAAAGGTATTTTGTTGTTTGTTGGTGGCTTTTAGATCCCTGTATATTTGCAAAGAAGAATGTTTAACCGGACCTGGTGGTTATTGTTGGTCCTGGGGGGATTTTTTTTCCGGCATTTAGTATCTGTATCTGTTGGATTTTTGGAGTGGAAGGGGCCATCGACTGTGGTTTTCCTCTCCAGGAAATGACTGATTTGGTGTACGATTTATCTGCCATTTTTTCCCTGCCAGTTTTTTTTTTCCTTCCTGCACTAAAAAAACCTCGGTTCCCTCTGAGTGGCAGTGGCTACCACCCACCCATGTTTTCCCCATGGGCCTGGATTGTTTTGTATCTTTTATCGTTCCCTTTAGAATTGGTAATGCCTGGCAATATTAAGGTTAATAGGCCAACCAGTCTTCCTGTACTGAAGAGGTACAACCAGTTCAGGTGAAAAGCTTTACAGGAAGGAATTTGCTATTTTTTCCCTGTTGTCAAAATGGGCATGGACAAATTTTCTAGGTGGTCCATAGTTGCAAGTCACGTCCCATCTGTTTTTTCCAGATTCCCTCCCATGCCAGCAGAATCCCAGTGCATAGTAATGTGCACGAGCTGGTTTTCCGCTTGCCTTGGGTTTTCGTGACTGTTAATCCCCTGTTGGTGCATGTTTTCCCCTGTCTTACCTTTCTATCCTCCCTAGCACCACAATGGGAGCTCACCCACCATTGTTTTTTGGTAATATATCCTCACATTGGCTAGTGGAGTCCCCTCTGTTTGCTATTTGTCCTGCGGTATTTTTCCTCAAGTTTTGCAATATTGGTTTTAAATCCTTATCTTTGACTACAACTGTTTCTCCTAACTATGGCTCCTGTCCCCTCTATGAAGGTCACTTAATAATGTAATTCCTTCCTGCGTATATTCCCGACTACCTTGGACAAACTCTCCATCATCAATCAACCAATACTGTCTCCCCCATGACAGTATCTCCAGCTCACCATTACTGTCTCCCAGACCAGTCATCTCCAGCTTCCAACCATTAACTTGGTCTCCCAGTACAGCACTCCAGCTTCATTCACCATTACTGTCTCCCCAGGACAGCAATCTCCGAGCTTCACCATTACTACTCCAGACCAGCACCTCCAGCTTCGTCACCATTAAAACTGTCTCCACCAGGACAGCACCTCCAACTTCACTATTACTGTCTCTCCTCAACATGCACCTCCAGCTTTCACCATACTGTGTTCCTAGGATTCTATGCATTCTCTCCAGCTTCACACACACTCATTTCTGTCCACTCCCAGACAGTCCAACCTCCAGCTTTCACATTAGCTGTCCTCCCAGGACAGACCTCCAGCTTCAATCAAACCATTACTGTCCCACCCAGGAAACACACCTCCAGCTTCCCACCTTTACTGTCCTCCCAGGACAAAGCATCCTCCAGGCTCACCATTACTGTCCTCCTCCCCAGGACAGCGACCTCCAGCTTTCACACCATTACTGTTCTCCCAAACAGCACTATCAGCCCCCGACATTTTACTGACTTACCAGGACAAACACCTCCAGCCTTAACAGTTTTTCTGACTACATTGGCCAGTATCAAGAAGGCAGTACCACCATTCAGCCCCAGAAACTTTTATGTTTCCCATCTGTTTTAGAAAGCTTCCAGTTTTCTATGAAAGCACATTGATGTTATCCTCTTTTTAATAACCCTTGTGATTTAGGAGGGTCCACAGATTTCCTCATTTGGGTCATACCCAAAAACTACTCTCTGATTTTAAATTACGCTATGTAGCTAGTTCAGGGGATATCTGCACAAGGGCCCGTGAACAACCCAATTTTTCCACAAAAATGGAACAATTTTATGCATGTGAAGCCCGTTTGTTTGACTGACCCCAGCAGACCTACAACACACACAGCCTCATAAATGATTTGAATGGTTGAGTTTTAACTGCAGATTCTACAAGCAACCCCTCTTGAATATTCTATAAATTAACCTTAAATGACGCTCTAGCTATTATGTATTTGTTTCTAACTGTTTTGTATATTGACAGCTTAATTACCGTCACGTTCCTGAATTTTTTAATGTTTTTGTTTATAAGGGGCGCCTACAACTCCCATCCCGTTTACAGGTCTGCTTTAATTGTAAACCATAACACCCCGGCCGGTGATTGAACACCACCTGCGGTCATAGAGTCGTCAGAACTCCCAGCCATCCAACTCTAATGACCGCGGGTTTCAATCCTCGGCCGGGTATTGTTTATTTTCTGCAATCGTGTCATTACGATTTCTTGCGTCCCTGCTTTAATAGTCCAAAAAAAACGAAAACCCGTTTGGAAAACCAGTCAAGGGTTTCGGACCATCAGGGTTCGGACCCAGTCAAGTTTCGGACCAGTCCAAGGGTTCGACCCAGTTCATCTGAACTGATCAGTGGGGTCGCTTCCCACCTCAAGGTAAGGTTCCTTGATTTGGTGAAGGGGGCTCTCTTGATTTATGAATTGGACTGTTGCTCCAGTTCACCCGGAATTAAAAAAGCCCTGATGCCTTCACCATCCCCCCCCAGCGCTGTATAATCCTCCACGGGTTAGCGCCATTCCTCCCCACCCCCCTTGATTATAATAATAATAATAACCGTGGGTCCGCTATTTAACATACTGTGTCGGTGATGTTGAGCTAAACCACATGAAGGATTCTACTGGAATTATCTAACCCGAGTAATAATGTTATTTGATTGTGATACAAAAAGTAATAACTTGGCGTTGTTTAAAGAAATCGTGACTGTCTGGCACTTCCCTACAGTGGGACGAAAAAACGTTCGGACCACAACTCACCCTGTTTATACAATCGCTGTAACTAGCTTTTCTATTTTTTTTTTTTTCCGGGTCTCCACCCCATAAATGTTTCATCAACACTAGGTAAGTTAAACTAACTAACCTAGCCGCATCAAATAACCTTTTAATCTCAGACTCTGATACGTTTTCAAACATACTATAAACCCAATAAAGGGGTAACCCCCCATAACAGTTGTTCAACATAGTAAGTGTATTCTCATGAACTTTATTCCAAAAGACCTAAGCAGGTTAACCCAACTAAGAGCACAGGCCCTGATTAAACACCCGTCTAGTTCCTAAAAGATGTGCTTCTGAACTGACAATCCCTATGCTCACGCTGATAATAAATCTATCAATACACCACTATACAGTAAACCGGAGGGGTTCAGAGGCCAGATCACTCCTATCTTTCAAGAAAAATAGTAGGTCTGATGTAAGCAACTATAGGCCTGTTAGTAATAGCACATTTATAATATCTAAAATTCTAGAGATGGCCGGTGTAATTCCTCAAGAAGTTACGGTACCTTAATGAAACAACATTCTCCCAAAAGCTATCAATCGGGCTTTATAAAGATCCTACACAAGCCGACCAACCTCCCTTATTAATCTGATGGATTACCTGAGAACTGAAATGTCAAAGGGGGAAACTCATAGTCAAATGGTAACCTTAGTTACCCTGCAAAAGGGCCTTCGATCAGTCCGAACTCACAATATATTATGTAATAAAACTTCAAGCTATTGGTAAAGGTTTACATGTAGACCCTTGGATTTTAAAAGACCTAACACTTAGCAACAGGAGACAAATAGCGCAAAATCCAACGAAAAAACAGAGAATCAGAAACCCCTGCATAACATGATGATTCCCCACAAGGTAGTAAATTCTGTTGTCCCTTATTATTCTTATGTTATGTCTATGATATGCCTATCAGTGTCAAGTGCAAACTCCCCTACTGTAAGCAGATGACAGTGCTCGTAGTGTCAGGTAAAGACCCACAATAAATTGGCTAATGTTTTAAAAAAAAAAAAACTGGAACTGGAGTCTGCCAGCAAATGGTTTAGTAACCAACAAAACTATCAATTAACACCTAGGGAAAAACTGAAGGCCATTCCTCTTTGGCACGAAACATAAAAAACTGAGAAGGGTAAATAATTTTAAAATGTTTCAATGTAGAATGGGGACCCATCACTTGGTTTCACATCAGTAAAAAATATTTGGGAATCCCACTTTGACCCATGCATGGACAGGGAGAATTGATAGGAACAGTGGTATAAAAGAAAGCGAAATGCCCAACTGAAGTTCCTGTATAGACAAGCACAGTGTCCTACCTACGAGGCTTTCGCAGGACACACCCTATGTCCTAGCCTTATACAATGCCATATGGAATTACGGCTTGCTCTTCTCTTCTTGGTACTCTCTTCTGGCCTTGGACAAAAAAAAAACTGAAAAGAGTAGGACATGCAAATTACACCCAAAACAAAATCAAATAAAATTTCATCCGGGTCTAGTGGGAACAAGCAGAAAACATGTAAGCGCCAGGATGAATTAACAGCATTTGGATATGCTAATGTTGAAGACCAGAGTAAACAACAGTGAAGCTAAATCATGTTAATTAAAATTGCCTCACAAACAATGTCCAGAATATCCTTGCTGCAGTTGTCAAGGTTATGGGAAACCAAGCAATCATAAGTACATAGGGGTAGAGAGCACAACTTTGTAGTATCCACAGTCAGTGGGCCAGGCTTCAAACACACCTTTTATTGTACACAGCAATAAAGGGAATGGATCAGTCTACACCCGCACAATGTCAAAAGCACAGTCCATAGCGTGAACCAAGGTTTTCAAGAAGAGTGCCAAAAGGTGTCTGATGTAATGTAGCTTCACAGAAAGGTGAGGTGAATGATTTTCTATTTTTTAGAATACTACATACGTGTAAATTTTACCCTTATTACTTGTAACTGAGGAACGTCACTCGTATATTAGGATAGTCACTTAAATGACCAATTAGGTGTAGCAGATAGTCCCTTTTTAAAAGTATGATAATAAGATGTTATCTTCATTGTTAGAAAATAAGAAATATATTATAACCCTTTATTACTATAATAAATAAGGTAAAAGGACCCCAATGAAATTAGTCACTCTGTCTGACTTTTTTTGGGTTATCCTAGTTTCCCTACACATAATGCTGCTATGATGATAATTCTATGTACTTGTATTTGTGTTACTGAATAAACTTTACTTACTTATCACAAATAGTTGACGGAGGAAATTTTGGAGGTAGGGAAAACGCTTTTTTTTTTTTTTTCTGTAGTAAATAATTGCTTCTCTGTAGTGGTAATATTTGCGACCCCTCGCTGTAACTACATATTATATGAAATTCACCGTAAGATAAGATTTTCGTTCGGATTTTTAAACCACCCGAGGGTTAGCCACCCAGGATAACCCAAGAAAGTCTCCAGTTGCGTCAAATCGAGGAACTGTCCTAACTTATTTCCATTGGGCCTTAATCTTGTCCCCCCAGGATTGGCGACCCACACCAGTCGACTACACCCAGGTTACCTATTTACTGCTAGGTGAAAACAGGAACAACAGTGTAAAAGGAAACTGTCGAATTGTGTTTCCCCACCTCCCCGCCGGGAATTACGAACCCGGCCCCTCCCGTGTGTGAAAGCGTGGGAGCTTTAAGAAGCCACCAGCCAACCGGGTTCTGGTATTTTCAAGAAAAAAAGTAACTAATGAAAGTCACTTAACGTCCACTCTTCACTAAGTAACCGATTAATAATACTGTTAGAGCTACTACAACTACTGTATTCTGCTATTCACATGGTAATTTATTCCGTAGGAAAATTCGTAGAGTGCAGAAAACAGGCCATGATGGTTTATTAGAATGAGTTTACTGTGCCATTCAAGAGAATGGAGTATTCTATTAGGTAAATTTTTATATTATTATCACACTGGGCCGAATTCCCCCACCAAGGCAGGGTTTCCCCGAAAAAAGAAAAACTTTCACCATCATTCACACAACTTCCATCACTGTCCTTGCCAGAAGGGTGCTTTTAACACTACATTTTTTTAAAAACTGCAACATTAACAACACCACCCCCCTCCTTCAGTAGTTGCAGCCACTGTACTTCCCCATCTCCAGGACTCAAGTCGGCCTGCCGTTTCCCTGAGCCCCTCAAAAATGTACTTTTTGCTCACACTCCTTCCAACCAGCACGCAAGTATTAAAAACCATTTGTCTCCAATCACTTCTATCAAACCACAGCTCACACACTATCATGCCTGCTGGAAGTCAAGCCCCTCGCACGATACAAAACCCACCTTAAACCCCCCTCCTCCAACCTTTTCCTTGGCCGACCCCTACTACCTCCCCCCCTTCCTTTCCATTAACAGACTGAAACACTCTTTGAAGTCATTTCTGTTTCGCATCCTTCTCTCTACATTCCGGCGAACCACACCATCAACAACCAAAAACCCTTCCTCAGCCCTCCTGGACAACACAGTTTTGGCAATCCTCCCCACACGCATCCTCCCTACACTTCCCCAAAACTACGAATTCCCTCTGCATTTATAATTCACAACCACACATTGTGCCCTCCAGAGACATGACATTTCCACTACCCTCCAGCCTTCTCCTCGCTGCAAAACATTCATCATTAGGTAAATGTAATAAAAAAAAAAAAAAACATAGTTTGATAGGTCACAGTATTATTACATTTTAGAGATACAGTTAATCGTTATTTTTTATTTAGTCGGGGGTGAATTAAGTGGTTTTTTTTAAGGAAGAGGGTCCTTGAATTGAAAAACAGACAGTGTTTTCTTTATATACACAGGTTGTGGACTGTATATTAACATAATAAAGAATATTATATATATATAGAACACATTTATATAACAGAAGGAAATATATCTTTTAATCCATATAAAAACCACTCAACCACCAATTTGACTGGAGATTAATTGTCAATGTAGCAGGAACCCCCCCCCCCCCATTTGCCTACATTTATTGAAAAATTTTTAACTGTGCCAGAATTAAGCTAAATTGGACCAGCTATCTGAGGTTTCCTGGAGTTGTCCTGAGCTTGGTCCCGGTCGCCTGATACTCAAATTATGCAGGAATGCACATCCAAACAAATTTCGGCCTGTCCTATTTGATGAGGTTTCAGCCCAGTTTAACCTCTAAGCACGAAAAATTTCTTCCCATGATATTCACAACGTTCCCTGATCAAAAATCAAACAATAATG